CACCTTAGTAGGCATGTGAACATCACAACTAGAGTAATCCCATGTAAGCCCTGATGAAAAAAACCCCCCTTTATCAGTAAATGAACGCTTTTTATTAAGGGCATTTCCTAGTTTGCATCCCTGGCAGATCCGTTAAGCTCTTGGGGATTCCATTAAGGCCCATGTACACCTTTGTTTGAGGCAGTGACTCCCTTTTAATTGTTTGCCAAAATGAATAGGGGCCCAATAAAAAAATGAAATGAGAAACCCCCCACCAGTTTTTCACTGGGGGGGTATTTTGATTTCCCCAAATTTTTTGAACAAATTAGCGTTAGACCAATTCAACCGGACCAAAATGAAAAATTGTTAGAAATTCCAATTAAGGCACCTAATTCTGACGATCAAGCCCTTCCCGTGTTTGGGCGCCCGGGCTGGTGGGTCGCTTGACCGTTTGTACTCACCAAATTTCAGAACTAAGTGGTATATTTTAAGTTTTTGATTTAACTCGTTAACCCCCCAACAGGTTTTTGCAAACTTTTTGATCGTTTGAAAATTCAAAACATATTTTTAAACGGTCTTAGGGGTTAGGTTGGCAGCGCGGCACCGCTTCCCAAATTTTCTCATACCTGCGGGTCCGCGGCTCTAAATACGGGACATAAGCAAATAAAACAAATTAAAGAGCAAAAGGGTTTGGAAATGAGATCGGCCTTAGTTTTTCAACATTCTAGAATGTTTAAAACCCTTTTGGAAAAACCAACACACGAAATATGGAGATGGATTTGAGAATGATTTACGTGTTTCGTTCCCCTCTCCCCCCTCCACTGTCAGAGGGGAATCATCTTCAGGTCAGTGCATTTTGACAAAGCATTGTAAAAAGAATGTTTTGATTTTGACCTTTTGTATTGTGTGCATCTTTTTTTTCATTTTAGTGTCATCCTTTTTTTAAAATTTTCAAACTAGAGGAAACAGGGAAATGCATAAATAACTTGTGTTAAAATTGGCAGGCATACTTAGTTTGGACTCGAGAAATGCATTTTTTTGAAATGCTGCAAGCTGACAAGACTGCAAAAGCACTAACATGTGTTTTTTAATAGAATCAATGTATGGTTGTGTATATTTAATCCTAATAGAGTTTGAATTGATATTGGGTTCAAAGAGACGACTCAGGTTTTGAGCGGTGAGTCATTAGTGCATAGACAACCAACCATATATATGTTTAGTGATGGGATTTAATGAGACGATTCCTTTAATTTCCCCAAAGTTAATATAACTGATACTACTTAGTATTGATCACATGAGTAAGAAAAATTTATGTCGGTTCATTAACCCTTGGGTAGCTACATTGGTCTCTATGTGACGAAACACTGGATTTGACAATAATTGGTCCCCGCTAACTGGTTCAGATCAGCCTACCCTAAACTGACTCTCTCAATATTAACTGTGAAACATTTCCAATCAATATTGTTTTATTCACTGGTTCAAAGAAAGAATGGCAAAATGTTTCATAAATATTACTTATAAAATTGTGAGTTCATAAGTTAAAAAAAAATAGTTTTTGAATAGTGACCCAAGCATACGAGTAGCCAATAAAGCGATTGAATGCTGGAAATTTAAATTTTTACTCGACTGAGGGATTCGCTTTGGGGTGCCATCGGGGAAATTTGGGTGACGACAGAGGGTGCTTCATGAAGACAAATAGAAACAACATACAGAAATTGAGTCTAAAGTATTGTGTGTAGTTTTTAGTGTACCCGGGCACAAAAAATTCATTTATTTCAACGCCAATCCTACATTTTCATCTAGAGCTACGCAATTTGGGGCCAAACTTTCCAAGATGAGTTTTTGTGTTTCCCTGTATTTTTTAGTGCGCTGACCTCAATATTGACCGCTAAATTGTCCCCTGACCCAAAATTTAACCAATTTTTGGTTAAATTTTTTAAATAATTGTACAGTGTTCTTGCAGTTTTTTTAGTTATACCCCAAATTTCCCCTACCCAAATTTTACCCCAATTTTGGTAAAATTTTTTTAAATTAATTTAATGTTCTTTCAGTTTTTGGTGCTGAAAAAAAATACTCCCATTTTCCCCGACCAATTTTTTCCCATTTGGCATTTTGGACCAAAAATTTAATCAAATTTTAATTGTTTTTGCAGTTTTTGGTGGCTGAACCAAAAAAACTTCAAAAATTTTCCCAGATAATTAACCAATTTTTTCCAAATTTTTGGGCCAAAAATTTTTTTTCGAGTTTAATTTTCCCGCAGTTTTTTGTGTGCTGAAAAAAAATACTTTTATTTCCCCAGACTTAATTTTACCAAATTGGCATTTTGGACCCAAAATTTTAGGAGTTTTTAATTTTTTCCGCAGTTTTTTGGGGTCTGAACCAAAAATGACCTTCAAATTTTCCCAGATGACATTTAAACCGAAGCCAATTTTCCAAAATTTTAAAAGGAGTTTGACACTGCCCAGATTTTGGGGTCTGTAACGAAAATCCTTCCTTTTAATGGTTAAAGTTCACGAATGGAGTTAAAATGGGCATTTTGCTATAACAAATAAAGGAAAATAGCAATCCCTCGGCCCCCCAAATGGCCCGTCCCGTACCCCCTTCAAGTGTAATTTCGCTTTTTCCCTTTCCGTAATGATTTAAAATGTGATCCGGTATAGGTATAACCCTTTTTGGACATGGGGGGGGGGGGGTCAAAAAAAGGAAAAGTAAATACCGGAATTTGCCCGTCCCCACTTCAAAATTGTGAACTCCCTTTGTTTTCCCTCGGGGGGCCGATTTCAAAATAGGTTTATTTTCGTATCGCGCCCCATAAAATGAGAAAAAAGGAAAAACTCAATGAAAGAATGTTTAAAAAATCCCCGCATTTAAGGGCCAATTTTTTCGAAAATACCATTGGGTTTTCTCTGTCGGCCAAAAATACCCCTTTGAATCTTTTTTGCGAAAAAAATTCCCGGGGGGGGGGGGCCCCCCCCCCCCCCCCCCCCCTTTCCCCTTTTTTTTTTTTCCCCCAAAAAAGGCCTTCCCCCAAAACCCCGCCCCCCAAGCCCAAATAAAAAAAAAGACGCCGCGCGGGCGGTTGGGGAGGCCGTTTGGGCATGAAGGAGTCAAGATATCGCAAAACGGACGAAATTTTCGCCCAAAGGGCCGTATTATGGCCTGTTTACCCTAGAGTCAAACTTAGTTTGGTGAAAATCCGAAAAAAAAATAATTGGCGTTTTGCCTCTATATAGGGTCTTGGGGCACGGCTTTGGCAAGTCTGACGACCTTGGGCTTTCAAATTAAGAGTTTTCTCACCATTTCGGTCATTTTGAGTCAGGGAACCCAGCGGAATTCTCACTTTCGCAAAATAAGAGCTGGTCTACCCCTACATGCCCTCCTAACTGCATCCGTTGCCGAGATCCTCCTCGACCCCATGTAGACCATGATACACCTGCAGCAGCGCCCCAGGGGCTCGGATCGGATTTGCTGCCACCGGGCGGTTCTTAGGGTCACCCAAGGGGGCTGCATACCAAATTTTATCAAGATCGGACCACGGGAAGTCCTCGGACGAACGGACGGACGCACAGCATGCATCATACTTTATGCCCGTCCCTCCGTCATTTTTTTTTTTACAAAAAATAAACGGGATGGGTCAAAAATGAGCCTAAAAAGCGTTACGTCACATTTGAACGGCCCCTAGTCGTGTCGTATGTACGGTTAGGAAGATACAGGGGCTCAGTGGAAAGCTTTGCATTTCAATTGTAGTAAACCGGCGACACTGAAATTCCAAACGCTATGAGTATTGCACGTATGGTGCAATGCGTCGAGATATCGCACCATACGTGCAATCCGAAAATCCCTACGTGCAATGCATCCCGAAAATGCCCTATGCTAATTCATGCGAATAGGGAGGCATTGCACTTCATGTGCAATGCTTTTGCATTGCACCAATTGACGCTATACTCATAGCGTTTGGATTCTCAGTGGAGCTATGCAGCCATTCGCCAAGTCCAACTCTCATGTCACATGAAAGAAAATTAATCGCAAAACAGTCGTTGACACTAAGGTAGGACATACACATAAAACTAAGTATTAAAAATGTAGCTTTGCCCCATTTTTATGAAATTCAAAGTTTACAAAGCAACCGCTGTAATCGGCCACATTTAATAAAACTGTATTTGGAGTTTCAGACCATTTGGAAACTTTCTGGTCAAAATAAGTTTTTGGTCCAAATTGTAAAAAAAAAATCTCAAACGAGAGAGAGAAAAATTTTTCGTCCAAAATTAAAAAGACAGTATTTTTGGGCGTTTCAGACCATTTGGAAACTTTTTGGTCAAAATCAGTTTTTGGTCAATTTTATGGAAATTGGTCAATTTTCAACTCCCATTTTAATGTGTTGTAGTGACTTTCAGCACGAACTGTGGGTGGCGAAAATTCTTTTTTGAGGTGGTCTTTCAGATCCCGAAGTATGGGAGCAATCGGCTCCTGACACCTGAGAACGTTCCCTTGTTAGGTTGCTGTTGCATCTTTTGGAAGTATTGCTGTCAGTAGGGTCAGTAGAATCATGAGTGTCCCTCTGAAAGTTTCCTAGATAAAAAAAAATTAAGTAGTAGCATGGGTAAAAATCAAGAGGTTTCCCTGTATTATGCCATTCACAGTGAGGTGAATATGTACCATTCTGATATGATGAGTTGTTGATTGAGTCAGCCTCATGATCACTTGTGTCATCATTGCCCCTAACTCGCCAATTTCCTGGAATGCAAAAATAATAAAACAAAATTAACAGAAACCCTTTGCAATGAATGTCATCCTTTACTAGGATAAATATCTAAAAAGTTTCTAGTCACCTGATGTAGCAGGACTACTTATGAGTATAACTGGGGAGTTTGGAATATCGGATGAAACTGTAACATTCCATTTGGCTGGACTGCTCACCGAATTTTTTTCTGGAGTGATAATTTGAACTGCAAAAAACAAAGTTAAAAGATGTTTAATTTCTTTAAATAGATGAATCCGGTTCAACATTCATAAGCAATCATTGGCTGCTCACTGGAATCAAAATGCTATTCAGTCTTGAAGAGAACATTATGCCACAAGCCCTAATACAGTTTATTGGCTGAGCGATAGCGAAGCCTGTTACTCCAGTGGGGTTGAAAAGTTTTGTCTGTCTGTCGGTCTGTCTGTCTGTCTGTCTGTCTGTCCGCACTACTCCTCCTGAACGGCTCGGCCGATCTCGGTGAGATTTTGCACACTTCTTAGGTATGTCCTTGGCTCGGCACACGCGAAATTTCACCATCCTAGCTTAACTGGTTCAGTTTTTATAGGCGAAAAACACCTAAAAAACGGCGAAAAATAGAGATTTCTGCAGATAGACCACTTCTGTCTTGGAGAAAGGGGGGTCTGGGGGGCGGAGCCCCCCAGCCTCGACAAGTTAAAAAGTGACAAGGGTCAAGATCGTGTTATCTGTAGATAAAACAACTCTATTTACAATGTAGGGGGGTCTGGGGGGCGGAGCCCCCCAGCACTCAACAAGTTAAAAAATAACCGACAACGGACAAGCCATTGCCTGCCGCAGGCAGGCTAGCGCCGCAGGCCAAGGTAGGTACGCCAGGCGTGGATTGGAGGAACAGGTCGCGAGACATCGCGAAGCCTGTTACGACAAGACGCGGTCTGGCGTAAACCTACCTTGTTCAGTCTTGAAGAGAACATCATGCCACGTGCCCTAATACACTTTATAGTCTTTTCATTGCCATGCTCATTATTATAAAGCAAAAGTGACATTGTCAAATTAAGTTATTTTAATAAAGAAATTTTACTTTTGTCACACAATTATGAGTGTGGTTAATGCAAAGACTATAAACTGTATTAGGGCTTGTGGCATAATGTTCTCTTCAAGACTGAATAAAATTTAGATTACAGTGAGCAGCCATTTGGCCAACCAGGCCTCGCCAATGAAACACCAACAAGATGCAAGCTGAGCATGAAGTGAAAATTTGATCAGCGATGAGTTTGATGACTTAGTTGTGGAGCACCATAAATGTTACAGTGTCGCAAAACATTACCAGATTTTAGGCAGGTATTTTCATTCATTGGAAAGGTTCCTCCAAAAGTAAACAAAAGTCAAAGCGAAAAATAATTGTTGATGGGTGATGAGCTGTATGCACGAGCATCTTAAAATTACTCCAGTTTCCCCTTGGGAAAAGGATCATATATGTTTCTTATATGATCCATGTATGAATCATATATGTGTGTATATGACTCATATACGAAACATATATGATGGCATACCTGTCATATATGCAGTGAAAGGGTCCATATATGCGTCATATATGTTATAGAGATGAACATATATGAACAAACCAGCATCATATATGAGTGATATATGAAAATATCCTTGTCATATATGTTGTCCTAAGATTCGTATATGAAGGTGGCCTCAAACATATATGAGCCATATATGTTCATCGACACTCCATATATGTTCATTCTGTCTTCATATATGATCATCTAAGCTCCATATATGTCATATCTAAACCCATATATGATGCATTTTATCCATATACGAACCATATACGAAATGCATTTCTACATATATGAACATTCGTACTCCATACATGACATACCCCATTACATATATGATGTCACGTTTTTCCATATACGAAAAAAATGGCTCCATATATGATCATCTCCTATCCATATACGGTAGACCTTAACCCATATATGTTACCTATTTTTAATATACGAACCATATATGAAGAGCATGGTACCATATATGATCATCCCCACTTCATATATGGTAGACCTTAACCCATATGTTACCTTTTTTTTCATATACGAAAAACATGGCTTCATATATGATCATCCGCGCTCCATATCTGGTGTACCTCAGCCCATATATGATGCCATTTTTTGCATATACGAACCATATATGAAGAGCATGGTACCATATATGATCATCCCCGCTTCATATATGGAAGACCTTAACCCATATATGTTACCTTTTTTTCATATACGAGAAACATGGCTCCATATATGATCATCCCTGCTCCATATGTGGTGTACCTCAGCCCATATATGTTACCTATTTTTAATATACGAACCATATATAAAGAGCCTGTTACCATATATGATCATCCCCGCTTCATATATGGTAGACCTTAACCCATATATGTTACCTTTTTTTTCATATACGAAAAAAATGGCTTCATATATGATCATCCTCGCTCCATATATGGTGTACCTCAGCCCATATATGATGTCATTTTTTGCATATACGAACCATATATGAAGAGCATGGTACCATATATGATCATCCCCGCTTCATATATGGAAGACCTTAACCCATATATGTTACCTATTTTTAATATACGAACCATATAGGAAGAGCAAGGTACCATATATGATCATCCCCGCTTCATATATGGTAGACCTTAACCCATATATGATACCTTTTCTTTCATATACGAAAAACATGGCTCCATATATGATCATCCCTGCTCCATATATGGTGTACCTCAGCCTATATATGAGGTCATTTTTTGCATATACGAACCATATACGAAAAACATGGCTCCATATACGAACATCCCCCATCCATATATGGTAGACCTAAAACCATATATGTGAGGTTTTTTTTTATACGAACCATATATGAAGAGCATGCCCCGGCTAGCACGTGAGCGGGAAAGGCGCGCAGCGGGCTTGAGCAAGCCCACGGCGAACACGCGGGCAGCACGGCCAGACCGGCCAGCCCCACGGCCTCCATGTTCACGACGACGTGCCCCGGCTAGCCTCGGCGCCGCGCTGGCAGTGCAGGAAAGGCGCGCAGCGGGCTTAAGGAGAGGTTCTGGTGAAAATGCTATTTTCTCCTAAATAGGTCCAACTGTGAAAATTTGTTAAAAATTTGATGTCTTATCAAGTATTTATTAAAAATTTTCATTGGGGAGGCATATTCTATGCCCTGAACCCAGTCGCAGAGCCTTTTTCTCCCATTTAGGCTATAACTTTAAAAATCTTCTTGCGCATGCTATTTTGTCGTAAAAGGTTGGCTTAGACATTTTTCACTTCTTCGATTCATTTTATAAAAATGCCGGCATGCACATCTCAAAATGTCAATTGCATTTTATTCGCAAGTTTTTAAACCCCAAGCATTTCACTATAATTGATCAAAAATGTACAAAATAGTCAAATTTTAGGGACTTTTTAGCTTTAAAAAACTAATAACTAATAATATAATGGAAGTTTTTAGCTCTGCATGCCGGTATCTTTTGAAAATGAGTCGAAGAAGTGAAAAAAAGTCAAGGTCAACCTTTTACGACAAAAAAGTATGCGCAAGGAGATTTTTTAAGATACAGCCAAAATAGGCTCAAAAAGACTCTTCGACTGGGTTTACAGCCTGGCATGTGCCCTTTAAAAGTCAAATTTTAGTCTCCTCAATGAAAAATTTTTATTCCGAACAAATTATGACTGTAGGATCCATTTGGAAAATGGCAAGATTTTCACCAGAGCCTCCCCTTAAGCAAGTCGACCTTGGGCTCCTCGGCGAACGCGCGGGCAGCACGGCCAGACCCGGCCAGCCCCACGGCCTCCATGTTCACGACGACGTGCCCCGGCTAGCCTCGGCGCCGCGCTGGCAGTGCGGGAAAGGCGCGCAGCGGGCTTGAGCAAGCCCATGGCGAACACGCGGGCAGCACGGCCAGACCGGCCAGCCCCACGGCCTCCATGTTCACGACGCCGTGCCCCGCTAGCCTCGGCGCCGCGCTGGCAGTGCGGAAAAGGCGCGCAGCGGGCTTAAGCAAGTCCGACCTTGGGCTCCTCGGCGAACGCGCGGGCAGCACGGCCAGACCCGGCCACCCCACGGCCTCCATGTTTCACGACGACGTGCCCCGGCTAGCCTCGCGCCGCGCTGGCAGTGCGGGAAAGGCGCAGCGGGCTTGAGCAAGCCGACCTTGGGCTCCTCGGCGAACGCGCGGGCAGCACGGCCGACCCGGCCAGCCCCACGGCCTCCATGTTCACGACGACGTGCCCCGCTAGCCTCGGCGGCCCCGCGGCAGTGCGGAAAAGGCGCGCAGCGGGCTTGAGCAAGCCGACCTTGGGCTCATCGGCGAACGCGCGGGCAGCACACGGCCAGACCCGGCCAGCCCCACGCCCTCCATGTTCACGACGCCGTGCCCCGGCTAGCCTCGGCGGCCGCGCTGGCAGTGCGGGAAAGGCGCGCAGCGGGCTTGAGCAAGCCGACCTTGGGCTCCTCGGCGAACGCGCGGGCAGCACGGCCAGACCGGCAGCCCACGGCCTCCATGTTCACGACGACGTGCCCCGGCTAGCCTCGGCGCCGCGCTGGCAGTGCGTGAAAGGCGCGCAGCGGGCTTGAGCAAGCCGACCTTGGGCTCCTCGGCGAACGCGCGGGCAGCACGGCCAGACCCGGCCAGCCCCACGGCCTCCATGTTCACGACGCCGTGCCCCGGCTAGCCTCGGCGCCGCGCTGGCAGTGCGGAAAGGCGCGCAGCGGGCTTGAGCAACCGACCGGGCTCCTCGGCGAACGCGCGGGCAGCACGGCCAGACCCGGCCAGCCCCACGGCCTCCATGTTCACGACGACGTGCCCCGGCTAGCCTCGGCGCTGCGCTGGCAGTGCGGGAAAGGCGCGCAGCGGGCTTGAGCAAGCCCATGGCGAACACGCGGGCAGCACGGCCAGACCCGGCCAGCCCCACGGCCTCCATGTTCACGACGCCGTGCCCCGCTAGCCTCGGCGCCGCGCTATGGCAGTGCGGGAAAGGCGCGCAGCGGGCTTAAGCAAGTCGACCTTGGGCTCCTCGGCGAACGCGCGGGCAGCACGGCCAGACCCGGCCAGCCCCACGGCCTCCATGTTCACGACGCCGTGCCCCGGCTAGCCTCGGCGCCGCGCTGGCAGTGCGGGAAAGGCGCGCAGCGGGCTTGAGCAAGCCGACCTTGGGCTCCTCGGCGAAC